CTTACACGTGCTGCTCCGTGGCACCACCAGATCTTCCGCATTTCACTCTCGAGAGCTCTCGAATGCTCTTTAATCACATTCATTACAAACAAGCTCTTTTTTATTCCTTTAACAGAGAAAAAGGCCAAAGGTTTGTCATGAATCCATACTGTTGGTATTACGTTGCATTTCAGGTATATTATTTAATATATGCCGTGGTTTTGTCAACTCTCGTGAAATCTTGTCCTTCTTCGTGACAGAGTTTGATCAAATACGTGATTCATATGTTTATATCGTGATGCGGTGTGGTTACTTCGTACCTGATGCGGACGTTTTTTGATTATATTATGTTTTTTTTTTTTTCTGTTAATATGTAAGGTGGTACATAATCAAATAGTGCAGTTCCGTTATCAAGAGTCATGTTTAGATCGTCTTTATGCGATGTGGTTTTAACCATCACGCATTGAGGTTTTTTTATAAACTTTGTGGCTTTCGTGACTTCCGGTATCAAGCCTGTCATTCACCCTTTAAAGTTTAACCAGCTTTTGGTTTGTGTGGAAAGCTGATCAAGCTGATCGCTAGAGTTACTCTTAGAACCAAAAATTAAGGGTGCGATTAGTGATAATGGAATAATGGTGAAAATTTTGCTTTTAGTTGCTAGTTTGGTCGAGCGCTAGAAGATTGCCTGAGTTTTAGCTGCATTTAGAATAGTCCGACATCTGCAGCTCCATTCTCTACACTTAGTAGCAGAATCTGTGCTTCGATCATCAGTGTGGTTGAGTATCAACGCTATGTCGTCTGCAAATTCATTACTTCTAATCTCACTTATTTCCAATTTTACGATTCTTCCATGTTTCGGTTTAATATTGGCCTTGAATTCCAAATTTTCTCTGATTTTATTGTTAGCTACTGTTCAATCAGTTACGTCATCCTTACTCGGACTTACTCGGCGGACTCTCGTCAGTTTTTTTCGAGTTTTCCTTTCACCTACTGGTCTCGTAAAGTAGACAAGATTGTTAAATGTGTGTCATGATGTGTGTATAATTCGTCCCAAAAGCGTTACCCATGAGTTTTTCGGTAAAATCGTAGCAGCCAGTTTCATTTATTGTAGAATGCCTGGTCTCACGGGTTTTCTTCAAGCTTCTTCATGTGTTGCTTGAGCGCGTGTTAATTTCTTTTAACGTAAATGAGTCACCCACAATTGACTTCTTTAACTCTTTTAAAAACAACACTTACTTGCCAGACTCCAGGGCCCCCAAAAGGTTTTTAGGTATTCGGGATCAGTCCCTTATTTGCAGGGCGGGATTCAGCATTTTAAATTATCAAGCAAAATGGGGGTGATATTGCGCGGCATTGTAAGTAAGAACGGGGTGCAGGATACAGCTAAAATATACTGGGTCGGGATTCTCAAGTGAGGTTATGGGCTGCTGAAACATATACATAAATGTAATTGCAAACCGAAAGAAAAATAAATTTCTGGTGTCCGTCTTCCTTTTTTTAAGTTTAGTTTCACCACATGGGTAATAGGTTTTAGGTATTCAAGATTAAATTTGCTTAGGTTTCGGCATTGTTTTTTGTTATCTGTTGGTTTGTTTTTTAAGTAAATAATGATAGCGAAATTGAAAACCCTTAAATGCACTGGCGTTACCTATTAATTAGGCACGTGATTTTGTGACTAAGAAAACTGGTATCTGAATACTGGCACGAAAGGGAAAAATACTAAAATGTCTGCTCTATTTTTCCTGCTAGTCGTGGTTTATCTCAGCTCTAGTTTTCATCCGACGGATTCTAACAGAGCGGATAAAGTTCAGGTTCATCTCGTGCCACATACCCACGATGATGTAGGATGGCTGAAAACTGTGGATGAGTATTTTTACGGATCTAATAATTCTATTCAGCATGCTGGAGTACAGTATATTTTAGATTCAGTTATCCCTCAGCTAACTAGTGGAGCAGAGTAAATATCCTTGCAGATTGCAACAAATAAAAGGTCTTACCCGTCCTAATTACTGCGCGTGAGGCTGCATCAAGTGTCTTAAAGTATCTGCCATCTCTTAGTCATCTAAACTGTGGGACAACAACTATTATAGTCGTATTCATGATGTAGTTAAACTTCAGAATAGAGCAATTATAATAATTAATGATGTTCTGATTATGGATAATATTACCCCCCACTATGTAAATCTAGGCATTTTGAAATTTTCTGACAATGTTAAATTTCTTTTTTATCTCTTATGTTATTCCGAACCGTCCAATTCTGTAATTATGCTTTTCTGTATCAGAACAACCATGAAAGCTAATCTACGAGTAATTTCCTTTGCAAAACAGGTCTATATTCCCCTTTTCAGAACAAACATTAGAAAATTCTCTCCTACTTTTATTGGAAGACATTTTCCATCCGCGCTAGGCGCCTACAATCATTACTTATCCCAGTGCTAAATGCTAGATTTGCCCAGTCAGCTTAATCTACTCATACTAATTTATGTACATAAATATACTGCTTTCATGTGTATGTGAATATTTTTTGACCGGTTGTATTTTACTTGCTTATTGTGTGTTATCTTTTTTGTTTTTGTTTAGTGGCAATTAAGAATCTACTGTATTTTTTCAACTATGCCCATTTTCTTATTATTTCTCAATTATTCTTATCTATAAACTTGTTTCTTCTGTGGAAAAATATAATACTACTACTACTACTTGACTTTTTACTTCATAATGATTAACGTATTGATAACTTACCAATTAGTCAGTTGAAAATGTGGGTGAATTATCAGGGATTCTCAGCTTTCTGTTAATGATACTAATCTTTTAATTCTAACGGCCCCCAGCACGTGGACAGATATGTTTGTGCTGCGCGGAAGCCAAACCATTTTGCCAGTAACATCTGCAGATCAAAAGTCCGAAGACAACGATTTCACTCTGTAGAAAAAACAAGTAATCAGGCCTCACTCTGAATCAAGAAACTAGCAGCATTATTTTGAGTCGATTGTTCTAGAATCTATCACCATAACTGATTCTCAAACAGACGGTCTAATCCTCAGAGAGATAAAGTTCGTATCAATTAATTTAAGCCTGCCATAGTACGCCCACAAGAACGTCTTCTTTGAAGCCAAACTTGACACCAGTGCATATGGCCACTCATTCTCTAGTGCATTTATTATTTTTCTTATTAAGTTGTGTTATTCATTTATTTATATACGAGGAATCATCAGTTTAAAAGTACATACTAAATAATAGTAAAGTACTAATATCTCATTTACATGATCGCCGTGTGGGATAATCGCAATAAGGCCCTATCGTCAAATGCATCTGCATAACCTAGATTATCATGAAAACCTCAGACCTGGTTACTTGTCAGCATCAGATTTTACCCTTACTGCCTCGTCTTCTCAAAAATCAAGTATCAGGACGATTTTATCATACCTTGTTCCTTGAGAAGGGAAAGCCCTCGAGCATCCTTCCACGTCACAAACATCCCCACGCCCAGCCGTCATGGGCCTTCTGGTTAATTTCAACTGACTTTACGCAGTTGGCATTTAACTTTTCTTTTCAGGAAAACGTTTGCGTACTCGGTAACAATAACGTTCCCAAGGAGCAGACCATAAGGCCATGAAAAATCAGTATCCCAAATGCTTCAATGAAGTGCGAGAGTTCAAATATACTGCTTGATCTCTGTGTACCCCCGTTAGTCCATTCACTGATGTTTGAGCTCGTCAGCGAAAAAGGAACAGGACAAGAAGGCTAAAATAGCGCAATGGCAAAGAAAGGAGAACCTACAAAATGTGTCAATAGCCTGTTCTATCGACTGCAAAACAGTCGGTTTTTTCTCAAAATCGGTAAAGATATCGGTAAAGCGTGGTGCTAATAAGCGCGCGAGCCTCAAACGCCCTTAGGGCGTGTGAGGCGACGTTTTTAGCCTCTCTCCCCAGTCTCGCTCTCCGTTTTCAGCCTCGTTCCAGACCTTTTGATTGACTGCTCGTGCGTAGAAAGGTAACACGGGGATGGAAAATCGCTCCTCCCTCTGCGTCTCACCTCTCCATGTGGCACGACGATTTTCACGGGCGCCCGAGTATTTCGCTCACTTAACTATCCCGGCCAAGGAAAGTGAGGGGCTACTCGTAATAGTTACTCGATCACTCAAGGTATGTAACTGGTTCTAGCTACAGCCGTGAGCGCTTCCGGCGTTTGTGTTTCCTGTGCTGATGCTGTTACTTCCCGTTCACTGACATGGTTTATACAGAATTTTGGGGGGAAAAACAAGGACTTTTCAAGGACTTCTTTTCCCTGTACTTTGACATAGAATGACACGAAGTAAAGATCTTTCAAATTCGTACGTGGAAGGGGTTTACTTATTGCAATACCTTCGCCCAAGAAGGCACGGTTCCTAGGGTACTTCAAATAACGGAAAATGAACTATGCAGGGAACATTGGAATCATGAGAAAACACACTTCCATGATCAACAAGAAAATTTACGTACTGCTGTGCTTTCGAGCTTTTCTTTGGGCAAAACACTTTTTTAACAAAAGTTATTTTTATTCAAAGAACTTTCAAAAAATGTTCGAGGACTTCTGTGGAAAACTCAAGGACTTTTTAAGGATATCCCACAATTTTTCAGTTGTCAAGGACTTTTCGAGGACATGATGCTTTTTCAAGGACTTTTCAAGGCCCGTGCGTGTCACAATAAAGTGGTGTTAAACTGAAATTCAAGTTACGGCGATACATACTTATTGCAACTACAAGTATACTCTTAAATATTCAGATATTTCATTTTAATAACTTGATCAGTTAAAGTAAGCATGAGCAAGAGTCATATGTCGACATATGCCTTCATATGGCATAAATGGCATATGTAGTAAGTCAGAAGATTTGATAGACCAAACGGGGCACTGGACACCAGTAGTGCCAGACCCACCCGACCCTTATTAACGCCTGTCATAAGTTCATAAGTCTACAAAAATATCTCGTGACTAACAGATGACTTTACAGTTGGGGCAGTGATTCACTTTTCCATCGCGTCAAGATGTACAGTTTGGTGTTTTTTGTTGCCATTTGTACTCTTGGCTTAGCCTTTGAATGCAAGTTTAACGGAGAAGTGAAGAACGAAGACAAACTTCAGGTTCATCTCGTTCCACATACCCACGATGATGTAGGATGGCTGAAAACTGTGGATGAGTATTTTTACGGATCTAATAATTCTATTCAGCATGCTGGAGTACAGTATATTTTAGATTCAGTTATCCCTCAGCTAATTGCAGATCCTAAAAAGCGGTTTATTTACGTGGAAATCGCTTTCTTTGAGCGATGGTGGAATGAACAAAGCGATGCCATGCGAGCGGAAGTGAAGAAACTTGTTCAAGAAAAAAGGCTGGAGTTTATAAACGCAGGTTGGTGTATGAACGATGAAGCTGCCACACATTACAATGCAATTATTGATCAAATGACTTATGGACTGAACTTTGTAGAAAAGACATTTGGATCGGATGCAAGACCTCGAATAGCTTGGCATATCGATCCATTCGGTCACTCATCTGAACAAGCATCAATCTTTGCACAAATGTCATTCGACGGATTTTTCTTTGGCCGTATCGATTACGCTGACAAAAGCCTTCGTCTGAAGGAGGAAAGAATGGAACTAGTTTGGAGAGGAAGCAGCAATCTTGGACAAGATTCTGATATTTTCACTGGGGTACTTTACAATATTTATAATCCACCTAAAGGATTTTGTTATGATCAATTCTGTACTGACAACCCAGTCCAAGATGACCCTAACCTGTATGATAACAATGTCAAGGACACAGTGGAAAGATTTGTTCAAACAACATGCAAGCAAGCCTCACACTACAAAACAAACCATATCATTTTGACGATGGGTTCAGATTTTATGTATGAAAATGCAAACTTATGGTACAAGAATCTGGATAAGCTGATTAAATATGTAAATGATGTAGGTACAAACCTGTTCCCTTCTGGGCCGGGTTGTTCAAAGCAGAGTTAAGATAACCCAGGGTTAGTGCGAAATTTGAATTCAGATATGAAAGCTTAAAAAGCAAATTCAGTTTTAATCTTTTTGCCTACAATTTGATGATTGGATGCTCTAAAAAGAATAGAGAAAATTATCCGGGAAAATCCTTTTGAACGAAAGAAAAAGAAACCCAGGTTAAAATTTAACCCTGGGTTAGCGCTAATCGGCCTTCGAACAACTGGGCCCAGGTTTTTAGTTCTTTACCATTGATTATCAAATGAGTAGTGTTTGATGGAAGTTTAGTAACCACATTTTTTACCATTTATAAAATTGTGTTTTTGTTCACAAACTTAGTTTCAACTCAGCCTTTGATGTCGTCAACAACAAAGTGCATTAGACTGTGAGATATAAGTGTTTTTTTAATTACCTTTTGCTCAATGGTTATCTCTTTAATTTAACCTGAGACCAAGCCAAATATTAGCAGCTCTCGTACATTCTCTCTTACATTGACGCTCTTTCTTTTTGTTTCATCATGCATGGAATGTTGTATATTTACCAAGCAAAACAAAATAGACTGCTCTGTTATTATCTTTTATTTATTTCACACTCTTTGTGGTTATTGGCATCAAAGGCTGATGTGTTGCCCCTGAAAATGGAACAACTTGTTAAAACAAGTGGATATAAAACATCTGTTGTGGTTACTCAGCTGATAAGTGCAGTGTAGTTGTATGTGGTCGCTGATAACCTGGTTTGGACAAGGAAAATTGAAGATCTTTTAAGTGTTTTAATCAACTTAGAGAGGGTAAGAATGAATTTTCACAGGTGCCTTCATTTGATCATTGTGCAAGATTAATTGCAGGTATAGTGGTGAATTCATGGGTAGGGAAAGGAGCTGAATTCCCTGTTAATACACCCATGAGGCTGGACGATTTTTACGTAATTTATAAAGCTAATTTGTACGATCATTTATGAAGGGCAATGTAGCTAAAAATTAATAGAAAGTAAGGATCTGTTGAAGCGAGCTTTAAAAAACGTAAACCAATCCCAGCACACTTTCTCTGGAAAGTGCATGGACCCTTGAGAAACTTAGAGCAAAAACTGGGACGCAAGACTTCAGAAAAGATCCTCCAAAAAGGAAAAGCTCCTAGATTTATTAGAACAAACTCTTCAGTTTTTTCTCATGAGGATAACATGCTTCCATGTTAGAGACTACCACCAAAATCTCATAGGAAAAATTACCACTGAGGTTAAATTTGCTGAACAGAAGTCAGCTTTAATACAAAAGGATTTTTGTTACAACATACCACCCTGCTGTTGCCTAATCTTAAGAACACCTTAAGATAAAATGGCATCTAATTCAAATCTAACTTTCACAAAGAGAAATATATAAAGAGCCTCCACTTTTGTACTTATTTTAGTACTAAGGTCATGTATTACACTAGTGACTCGCATTTGGCCCTTTTTTTCTTTCTACTTATGATTGGCCGTTTAGTAAACAACCGCTTACTGCTGATTGGTTCTATGTTAATTTGCACGTGATTGTCAACTGATATTTGCGAACAAAGAGAAAGGTATTTAACTGCTTGTTTCAGCAGATGTTTGTAGGGAAAGAATGCCTGATGAAGCCCTAAGAACATCTGCATGATTGAGAGGCTAGGTGAAGGTGTAATGATGAAGTGTTTAGTGCAGTGAAAGTTGGATCCAAATGTTTTTTTACTCATCCTGTGGCTGTGATTGTGATGTTGTTGTGTTTCTGATCAGTGACTTAATGCCAACCGTTTAAGTAGTCTGAGCAAGGTTTCATGCAGTTGGCAGGAATATTAGTTGTAATGCTGTATAGTGTACATGGCCAGTGCCGGATCCAGACCTTGAGATAAGGGGGGGGGGGGGGGGATTTGAGTCGATTGTTCTAGAATCTATCACCATAACTGATTCTCAAACAGACGGTCTAATCCTCAGAGAGATAAAGTTCGTATCAATTAATTTAAGCCTGCCATAGTACGCCCACAAGAACGTCTTCTTTGAAGCCAAACTTGACACCAGTGCATATGGCCACTCATTCTATGGTGCATTTATTATTTTTCTTATTCAGTTGTGTTATTCATTTACTTATATACGAGGAATCATCAGTTTAAAAGTACATACTAAATAATAGTAAAGTACTTATATCTGATTTACATGATCGCCGTGTGGGATAATCGCAATAACTTCAGCCCTATCGTCAAATGCATCTGCATAACCTAGATTATCATGAAAACCTCAGACCCGGTTACTTGTCAGCATCAGATTTTACCCTAACTGCCTCGTCTTCTCAAAAATCAAGTATCAGGACGATTTTATCATACCTTGTTCCTTCAGAAGGGAAAGCCCTCGAGCATCCTTCTACGTCACAAACATCCCCACGCCCAGCCGCCATGGGCCTTCTGGTTAATTTCAACTGACTTTACGCAGTTGGCATTTAACTTTTCTTTTCAGGAAAACGTTTGCGTACTCGGTAACAATAACGTTCCCAAGGAGCAGACCATAAGGCCATGAAAAATCAGTATCCCAAATGCTTCAATGAAGTGCGAGAGTTCAAATATACTGCTTGATCTCTGTGTACCCCCGTTAGTCCATTCACTGATGTTTGAGCTCGTCAGCGAAAAAGGAACAGGACAAGAAGGCTAAAATAGCGCAATGGCAAAGAAAGGAGAACCTACAAAATGTGTCAATAGCCTGTTCTATCGACTGCAAAACAGTCGGTTTTTTCTCAAAATCGGTAAAGATATCGGTAAAGCGTGGTGCTAATAAGCGCGCGAGCCTCAAACGCCCTTAGGGCGTGTGAGGCGACGTTTTTAGCCTCTCTCCCCAGTCTCGCTCTCCGTTTTCAGCCTCGTTCCAGACCTTTTGATTGACTGCTCGTGCGTAGAAAGGTAACACGGGGATGGAAAATCGCTCCTCCCTCTGCGTCTCACCTCTCCATGTGGCACGACGATTTTCACGGGCGCCCGAGTATTTCGCTCACTTAACTATCCCGGCCAAGGAAAGTGAGGGGCTACTCGTAATAGTTACTCGATCACTCAAGGTATGTAACTGGTTCTAGCTACAGCCGTGAGCGCTTCCGGCGTTTGTGTTTCCTGTGCTGATGCTGTTACTTCCCGTTCACTGACATGGTTTATACAGAATTTTGGGGGGAAAAACAAGGACTTTTCAAGGACTTCTTTTCCCTGTACTTTGACATAGAATGACACGAAGTAAAGATCTTTCAAATTCGTACGTGGAAGGGGTTTACTTATTGCAATACCTTCGCCCAAGAAGGCACGGTTCCTAGGGTACTTCAAATAACGGAAAATGAACTATGCCGGGAACATTGGAATCATGAGAAAACACACTTCCATGATCAACAAGAAAATTTACGTACTCCTGTGCTTTCAAGCTTTCCTTTGGGCAAAACACTTTTTTAACAAAAGTTATTTTTATTCAAACAGCTTTCAAAAAATATTCAAGGACTTCTGTGGAAAACTCAAGGACTTTTTAAGGATATCCCACAATTTTTCAGTTGTCAAGGACTTTTCGAGGACATGATGCTTTTTCAAGGACTTTTCAAGGCCCGTGCGTGTCACAATAAAGTGGTGTTAAACTCAAATTCAGGTTACGGCGATGCATACTTATTGCAACTACAACTAATAGTATACTCTTTAAATATTCAGAGATTTCATTTTACTTACTTGATCAGTTAAAGTAAGCATAAGCAAGAGCCATGTTATGGCTCCGTATGGTATATGGAGTAAAGAAATGTAGTCAGAAGATTTGATAGACCAAACGGGGCACTGGACACTAGTAGTGCCAGACCCACCCGACCCTTATTAACGCCTGTCATAAGTTCATAAGTCTACAAAAATATCTCGTGACTAACAGATGACTTTACAGTTGGGGCAGTGATTCACTTTTCCATCGCGTCAAGATGTACAGTTTGGTGTTTTTTGTTGCCATTTGTACTCTTGGCTTAGCCTTTGAATGCAAGTTTAACGGAGAAGTGAAGAACGAAGATAAACTTCAAGTTCATCTCGTGCCACATACCCACGATGATGTAGGATGGCTGAAAACTGTGGATGAGTATTTTTACGGATCTAATAATTCTATTCAGCATGCTGGAGTACAGTATATTTTAGATTCAGTTATCCCTCAGCTAATTGCAGATCCTAAAAAGCGGTTCATTTACGTGGAAATCGCTTTCTTTGAGCGATGGTGGAACGAACAAAGCGATTCCATGCGAGCGGAAGTGAAGAAACTTGTTCAAGAAAAAAGGCTGGAGTTTATAAACGCAGGTTGGTGCATGAACGATGAAGCTGCCACACATTACAACGCAATTATTGATCAAATGACTTATGGGCTAAACTTGGTGGAAGAGACTTTTGGATCGGATGCAAGACCTCGAATAGCCTGGCATATCGATCCATTCGGTCACTCATCTGAACAAGCATCAATCTTTGCACAAATGTCATTCGACGGATTTTTCTTTGGTCGTATCGATTACGCTGACAAAAGCCTTCGTCTGAAGGAGCAAAGAATGGAACTGGTTTGGAGAGGAAGCAGAAATCTTGGACAAGATTCTGATATTTTCACTGGGGTACTTTACAATGGTTATAATCCACCTAAAGGATTTTGTTATGATCAATTCTGTACTGACAACCCCGTCCAAGATGACCCTAACCTGTATGATAACAATGTCAAGGACACAGTGGAAAGATTTGTTCAAACAACATGCGAGCAAGCCTCACACTACAAAACAAACCATATCATTTTGACGATGGGTTCAGATTTTATGTATGAAAATGCAAACTTATGGTACAAGAATCTGGATAAGCTGATTGAATATGTAAATAATGTAGGTACAAACCTTTTCCCTTCAAGTATTTAGTTATTCACCATTGATTATCAAATGAGTAGTGTTTGATGGAAGTTTGGTAACCACACCTTTTATCATTTATAAAATTGTGTTGTTGTTCACAAACAAATTAATTTTTCTGATTCTTAGTTTCAACTCAGCCTTTGATGTCGTCAACAGCAAAGTGCATTAAACTGTGAGATATAACTGTTTTTTTAATTACCTCTTCCACAATGGTTATCTCTTTAATTTAACCTGAGACCAAGCCAAATATTAGCAGCTCTCGTACATTCTCTCTTACATTGATGCTTTTTCTTTTTTTCATCATGCCTGAAATGTTATATATTTACCAAGCAAAACAAAATAAAGCCTGATCTGTTATTATCTTTTATTTATTTTACACTCTTTGCTGTTAATGGCATCAAAGGCTGATGTGTTGCCCCTGAAAATGGAACAAGTTGTTAAAACAAGTGGATATAAAATGTCTGTTGTGATCACTCAGCTGACAAGTGTAGTGTAGTTGTATGTAGTCCACTGATAACATGTTTTGGACAAGGAAAATTGAAGATATTTTAAGTGTTTTAATCAACTGAGAGAGGGTAAGAATGAATTTTCACAGGTGCCTTCACTTTATCATTGTGCAAGATTAGTTGCAGGTATAGTGGTGCATTCATGGATAGGGGAAGGGAGCTGAATTCTCTGTTAATACACCCATGAGGCTGGACGATTTTTACAGTAATTTATAAAGCTAATTTGTAGGATCATTTATAAAGGACAATGTAGCTAAAAATTAATAGAAATTAAGGATCTGTTGAAGCGGGCTTTAAAAAACAAAGACCAATCACAGCACACTTTCTCGGGAAAGTGCATGGACCTTGAGAAACTTAGTGCAAAAACTGGGATGCGAGACTCCAGAAAATGTCAGCAAAGACAAAAAAGGTTTCCAAAAATGAAAAGCTCCTAAATTTCTTAGAACAAACTCTTCAGTTTTTGCTGATGAGGATAACATGCTTCCATGCTAGAGACTATTACCAAAATCTCATAGGAAAAATTACCACTGAGGTTAAATTTGCTGAACAGAAGTCAGCTTTACTACAAAAAGGATTTTTTTTACTACAAAAAGGATTTTTGTTACAACATACCGCCCTGCTGTTGCCTAATCTTAAGAACACCTTAAGATAAAATGGCATCTAATTCAAATCTAACTTTCACAAAGAGAAAATAATATATAAAGAGCCTCCACTTTCGTACTTATTTTAATACTAAGGTCATGTAGTACACTAGTGACTCGCATTTGGCCCTTATTTTTTACTTATGATTGGCCTTTTACTAAACAACCGCTTACTGCTGATTGGTTCTCTGGTAATTTGCACGTGATTGTCAACTGATATTTGCGAACAAAGAGAAAGGTATTTAACTGCTTGTTTCAGCAGATGTTTGTAGGGAAAGAATGCCTGACGAAGCCCCTAAGAACATCTGCATGATTGAGAGGCTAGGTGAAGGTGTAATGATGAAGTGTTTAGTACAGTGAAAGTTGGATCCAAATGTTTTTTTACTCATCCTGTGGCTGTGATTGTGATGTTGTTTTGTTTCTGATCAGTGTCTTAATGCCAGCTCTTTAACAGGAATATTAGCCATATTTACCCCCCTGTAATGCTGTATAGTGTACATGGCCAGTGCCAGATCCAGACCTTGAGATAAGGGAGGGGGGGCCTGGTCATCCAGACCCTTACATAAGGAGGAGGAGGCCTAGTCTCCCAAAAGAATTTTTTGGCCCTTCGGGCTTCAGTTTGGTTTTAAAAAAAGGGGAGGCGGCCCCCCACGGGCCCCTTCCCTAGATCTGCCACTGATGGCTAAGCTTTATATTTTTTGATCGGGATAAAATTTTGTGAGAAATGCTGCACTTAAATGTATAAACCTGATAAAGAACATGTTACCCTGTAAATGATTTGAACCCCAGCTAGAGGTCATATCATATTACAGGTAGCAGGTGTAGCCATGGATTGGACATGTGAGTGTTTTCAAATATGACCAGTTATTGTTGACACTGTGAATGATGTTTTAAAAATCTGTGCATCATCAGATTTGAAGTTAATTGTTACATCATTTATGGTTGATGATGTTGAACTCTGGTTTTGACCTGATTGGTCAACTAAGAACATGTGGTCTGGTAAAACCCATTGGCTACTAGTATGAAAATTGCAAGCTACATGTACCCTGGAAACAACAATAAGAAAGAAAGATCTCAGTTATTTAATACTTAAATGCAAGAAAGCTTGCCTAAAATTAAAAACTATAATGTTTTCTCCTTTAGGATGGCCGTGTGAATGCTTTCTACTCTACACCAACACTTTATTTAGATGCTCTTCACAAAGCTAATCAGACATGGGAATTGAAGACTGATGACTTTTTTCCATATGCAGACTGTCCACATTGTTACTGGACTGGTTATTTTACCAGCCGACCAGCTCTTAAACGATATGTTCGACTCAACAACAATTTGCTTCAGGTTAGTTATTGCCCGATAATGTGCCCCCATAGTGTATTATGTTGTTAATTCACCCAATATGAAGGTAACATTCTGTTCAGACAAACAAAGAAAAAAGGACTGGNAACATTTTGTTTAAAAAAAAAAAAAAAAAAGGAAAGGAAAAAAAAAAGAAATTGGGAAGAAATTTTGGAGACGTAACGGGGGGGGAAGAAATTTACTTTTGGGTTGTTTGGTGGGGTGGTTCTTGGGGGAATCAAACCCTTAACAGGTTTTTCACAAAAAAAGAAGGGGCCCCCCCCCCCCCCCCCCCATGCAATATGATTTTGTGATGCAAAATAGCAAATTACATTATTTTTTATCTCACGTCTCAAAATTTGACTTAGCCAGGGTTAGGGTTGACTTTTAATGCATGCCGTCATATAAGTGTGGCTTACTTTATATCAATTCAGCTGCACTTATCAGTAAAATTCCTGGAGGTAATTTAATATTGCTTGTCAAATATTTCAGGTGTGCAAGCAGCTAGAGTTAGTCAATGGATCTGGAACTGGCAAAAATGGCCCAACTTCAGACACTCTGCGTCGAGCTGTGGGAGTAGCTCAACATCATGATGCTGTGAGTGGTACTTCCAAACAACATGTCGCTGATGATTATGCCAAACGACTCGCCATTGGTGCTGCTGAATGCCAGGTATGAAAGTCAAATCATTCTCCTGATAATTCGTAGTTTTTTAATTTAATTTTGGCCAAAAACTTCTTAAAGGTAAAAACTGAATGAATGAAATGATGTGGATGAGAGGACAACAGGCGTGTCCTCTTTACATTATTTAATGTAACATGTTAACAGTAAGCTCGGATGTCACCATACAAGGAAGCTACTGGCAGCCTCTATCAGTCAATTCATGACCTTACTCAACCCACCCACAGCCCATGATTATGGATGATGTGTGAAACTTCCCTCCTTTGTTTTGACCAGTAGTGTATGGTTCTTTTACGTCCCCTCCGACTTAAAACCACTCAATAACGCGTTCATCTGAATTGAGGTCTACAAGATGTTAAATCACGATCACAGCCAGTATTAGCCTGTTCCAGGCATTCCGATAGTGGAGCGCAGCGCTAAGGAAGAGAGCAAGAAAAAAATAAGAAGGAAAAGAGGGAGAGGGAGAGAGGAGGGTACACTCTTATCCCGCTACCCCCTACCCTGCCCCCTTGTTATTTTTTTTTCTGCTTACATCTCTTTGCACTGTCCCCATGATTTGAATGCCTGGAACAGGCTAAGCCAGTATCAACTCACCTTTGTTTAAAGACTTTGGTAGTTGGTCTGGCCGACATCCTGCTCGGCAGACGGGTGCTCTCCCAACTGAGCTAACCGGGTTATAAATCCTTTTTTTCCTTTTTTTGTTTGTTTCATTTTTGTCATGGCCTTTTATTGTTTAAAACACCTTTTTCGTTTTTTCACCGTTGTGTAAGGCTCTGACTGAAACTGTTTTGTGGAAGAATATTGAAGAATGTTTGTGGCCGGTTATTTCGGTTCATGAGAATGAATGCCTGTTACATCTTGCGGGCCTATTACCGACAGGAAGTCGGTTAACTGCACTTTTATTTATGTAGCTTTCTGTTCTCTTTCAAGATTTTGTCTCTACGTAGATCCGAGTTCAAAGATCCTTGTATGGTTAGAGTGTCATAACGCTCTCTTGAAATACAACTTGTAAAGTTACTGTTTTGAAGAGTTTAAATTAATTTCAACGTGAATTTATTTAAACACATTTCCCAACAATTATGGCCTTTTATGATTCAACGATTTGTAAAAAATACCGCAGAACTTCTATCATGATCACCGTCATTATAAAAAAAAAACATTGGATAATGCAATTCTAGAGCTCTGATTGGCTTAGCCATCATGGTATATGAGCCATTATACCATGCTCTCCAAATATGGTAACTGTACGAGTCTGCTCAAAATTAAAAACAAGCTGAAAATCAGTTGTTTTTACAAATAAAGTAGGGAAGAATTCTCGATATTTTATGGGCGTTTTTAATAAAACAATTATTCCACTCGCACTTGTTGGATATGAGACGATTATAGCCAACTCATATCCAACGTTCGCTCGTGGAATAATTGTTGATTGACATGTATCATCATCATTATCACAGTCTTGTTTTCTTCACCGTCATTAAAAAATTTAATTTTTACCAACTTAGTTGATTTAAATCTCTTTACGTTTTTTTTGACAAACAACACTAATAGTTAACGAAATACAACTCTAACATCCAAAATAAATCTAAATGCCAGTTTACTTTATGTTACCCTGTTGTTATTATTATCATCACGTCACCGACATTATCGTCGTCATCATCATTGCTGTGATCATTATTGTCTTTCCCATAATCGTCAAAACGATCATCATTAACAACCAATATCACCATCATTTCATCACTACGTGTACGCAGACCATATAACAAGCCGTAATTGTTTGTGTGTTGTTTGCAGGACTTGATCGCTGATGTCCTCGGCAAATTTACAGTGAAAAACTCTGGAACTCAGCCCCCTGATTTGAAGTTCTGTGACCACCTTAACATCAGCGTGTGCGACGTCACTGAGCAAAACAAGTCCTTTACTGTGACGGTGTATAATCCTATTGCACGTGACGTAACTACTGTGCTTCGACTTCCGATAGCAAGCAGCGCAATGGCTGTTTATGGACCCCATGGAAAATCGATCAAAAGCCAAATACTGCCAATCTCTGACGCCACGAAACAGCTCCGTAAAATTCAGAAACAAGCGAGTACCTCTTCCTTTGAAATTATTTTCAACGTCAAAATTCCTGCTCTCGGCTTTGCCACCTACTTTGTGAACTCAACCACGTCGTCTCGTCTAAAAGACTTGTTCCGAGCTCCCGAGAAAAAGTTCTACGCAGATGCCGACGAAATGTCCATCGAGAATGAATTTATTAAGCTTTCGTTTACGTCTAAGACTGGTGATTTGATAAGCATGACCGATAAAAGCTCCAAGGTTACCACCGCTGTGAAACAGGCTTTCTACTGGTACAACGCGAGCACTGGAAACAAACAATCCAAGCAGCCCTCCGGAGCCTACATCTTCAGACCAAACAAAAGTGAACCGATCCTAATCTCACAGGGACGGAAGACAGAACTCTTCAAGGGTCCCCTGGTGCAGGAAGTGCGTCAAGTAATATCTCCTTTCGTCAGTCAGGTGATTCGACTTTACCCTGGTCAGCGGCATGCAGAGTTTGAGTACACAGTTGGACCCATTCCCATCAGCGACAATTTGGGCAAAGAGGTGATCACTCGCTTTGATACTGATATCAAATCTACGAAGCTCTTTTACACTGACGCAAATGGCAGGGAAATGCAAAAACGCGAGTTAAATTTCCGTCCCACGTGGAAGCTGAACGTTACAGAGCCAGTTGCTGGCAACTACTATCCAGTCAACAGTCGAATATACATCAAGGACGACGCTAAACAGTTAACAGTCCTGACTGAGCGTTCCCTGGGTGGGTCCAGCCTTATGGAGGGCTCCATGGAAATCATGTTGCACAGACGTCTGCTTGTAGATGACTTAAGAGGCGTAGGCGAGGCCCTAAACGAGCCTGGAATCTCCGGTAAGGGCTTGATTGTCCGAGGGAAACTGTGCCTAACTCTAGCGCCGCCCCAGTCCTCTGCTGCTCTTCATCGTGAACTCGGCGAGCTGATGTTGCTCGAGCCTGTGCTTGCTTTCGCGCCAAACAGCCTCACTTTCAACAAGTGGACGAGCCAATATAACTCCTTGCACAGCGGTCTAAACCGTGAGCTTCCCGCTAACGTGCATCTGCTGACCTTAGAAACCATGGGCGACTCAGCGCTGATCAGAGTGGAGCATCAGTACGAGGCTGGCGAGGACGCTAAGCTGTCGCAGCCAGTTAACATTTCACTTGAAGGTCTGTTTACTGATTTTGAGATTGAGTCCATGACGGAAATGAACCTGTCTGCAAATCAGCTTCTGAAGGATAAAGAACCTCTTCACTGGAATATTAAAACAAGAAAGGAAGCAGGAAAGAAGAAAAAGAGGATGATTTCACGGGCGGCCACTGATTTAAACGTGCATCTGACACCCATGCAGATTCGCACATTTAAAGCTGTCGTTAAACGTCACAGCAACACATTATCGCGTTATTATAAGTACTAAGTTCGCCTGAAATACACAGATAACGCTTTTTGATAGTTCTAAACTACCATTTTGCTTTATTGATATATAATGCTTTTGTTTTTACAAAGTTTCGTAAAATCCTCACAATCCTTTTGTATGAAAATTGTAAAAGCGAATGAATAAATAATTACAGTGATTAAACATCTGTGCTTTACTTTGAAAATCCCTTAACTTTTATCCTTGGCAGCTTGAATTATAGAAAATGCGAGAAAGTCTTAATAAATGAATAAGAAAACTTGCAGGAAGCGCAGAATTTAACATTTAACTGTCGTATCTTCCTCGATAGCGAATTTAAGCAGCGACGTTTTTAAGACACACACGTCAACTGGAAGTGAGCGTTTCTCTCTTTTGATACACCTTAACGCAACCAAATTTGTTTTGCTCAGTGCCTTTACTCGTATAGAGACGATTTGCCCAAGAATGTGTTCAAAATTACGGCCGAAGAAGTCCACTTCCGGTTCACTTGCGCCGCTTAAAAACGTCTTTGCTTAAATTCCCTAATAAGGAGCTTTGCCGTCAATGAAGGAGAAGGCAGCGAAAGCGTCACTGTACTTTAAAACGAATTCACGTTTTTTCAATTTTTGTCGCGCTGATATATTCCAATTCGTTGAAAATGTCAAATCTAGGCGTATTTGTTTGGAGTCTAAAATTCTTGTGAACTAGAAGTTAGAGTATGTATGACTGGCGGTTTTGAAATTTGCGGTCGAAACCAGTGGGAATTATTTCGGCGGCAGGGAGAACTGAAATTTGATCTTGAAAATTAAAAAAAGTCCAGGCCGCAGTTGTTCAAAAGGTGGATAACGTTATCCACCGGATAAATCACTATCCACGGGATAGCGCACTCGGTTTCGCTTACACTTATCCGACACTGGGGCGAATAGGCGACAGGACGGAGCAACGAAGCGACGAGTCGAACATTTTTTCCACGATTTGCCTTCAGACTGTTGGGTGATAAGGTATTTTATTGTTACATTTCTTCCAGTCAATTCTAAGTAGTGGTGGTGATAACCAGTTGATAATCAACGATATTTCTTGAGGAGACTGGAGAACAACAGGCAGTGAAATGGATTATCAGTCTGCGGACACCACTTGACCATTAAATAACGAGGAAGAACCCTTTTTGTCACCATGCTCGTCACATACTAGCAACCTCACTCCTACCTGTCCTTTCCAATGGTTAGTAACAATGAATCCTGAACGAAACATGTGGACGTTTTTTGGATCGTTTTCTGTCAACACAGCGAAAAACGGCTTTATAACGCGGAGTGTCCCAGATTTTGCGATGGTCCGTTTTTGTCGTCTGCATAAACGCTTTGATTGTATAAAATCTGTGTTCAAGTAAAAAATAATGACTTAAATGGATACAAGTTCAGTTATTTGTCTTTTCCTCAACTTGGAAAAAAAGGCTCACGATATATAAACGGTGGTAAATTAACCACTTAGTTATCAACGCAATTTATAAAACCACAATTTTGTGTCTACTTATACTCTCTTACCCACCTAGCACTACAGTTTCTTTCGAAACGGATCCCCTCACTCTGTCGAGAACCTAATAAAAGTATTTCAAACCTTAATTATTAGTTGGTTAATAATCCAAGCCACATTTGGCAAACAGAACCTAAAAGTTTTTTAATTAAGAACCTGTTCAGCTAAAATTTGCCACAATAGACCCCCTGTATGAATAACTTGTTAGCCTAAAGCTTAAAACAGGTTCTTATTTTCAAATGAATTACCAACTCAATCTATGGTTAAATTGAATGCTAAGTTTGGTGTAGAGTGCTTTTACCATTTTAACTGTAATAAAAGTAAATAAGAGCTCAATGCAATTGGACGATCATGTTTGTTATGTTTTGAAGGAGGACTTCAAAATTCATTAGGACCAAGGTTTTTAATCGTCATTTTTACATGAACACTTATTTGGTATGCAGATTCAGTTTAAGGCACTTGGTTGGGTACTGCCAATTTCTTTTAGCTACATTACATTTAAGTACCCAAATAAAAGTTAATTTCATAAGTTCTGAACGAAACCAGCGTTTTAAAACTGCTCTCGAAAGAACTGCTTCCAGGCACCGTTTATGATTATTGTCTTCTCGCATAGTATCGTTTTCGCTTGACAGTCTGTAAGACTAAAGAAAAGAAATCATTAGACAAAAAAAAATCTATGAAGGTAAAAAATGGTTGTCTTTGAGTCCTACATGGGACATAACCTAAGCTGGCCCATGAATGACTAACAATCTCGTTCGAACACGTCCAATGTTGTAGGAGAGAGTTCACGGCTTTGTAACAAAGAATCATTCATGAATATAACCACAAGACAGACATACTTATCAGCTTGTGAAGGGTCATGACCGGAAAGAAGAAAAGAAAAGAAAAACTGGTGACGTGACCCCGTCAGTAGGTAATGAAAAGTCTGTCTTCTTTGTTTGTCACATGCTTTTGTCACGAGAAAACTCCCCTGTCAGAGTCCTCATCGGCGTTCGGATACAAACCGCTCGTTTTTGAAAAAAATTTATTGATCTAATACTTCGGCAGTTTTTACGAAGATTTTACGAAACCATATGTTTTCCTCTGTGTTTTTCGTAACCTTTTTTGTTCTCGGCTCAGCCTTTGAGTGCAGGTTTAATGGAACAGTGAAGGATGAAGAAAAACTTCAGGTTCATCTTGTACCGCATACCCATGATGACGTAGGATGGCTGAAAACTGTGGATCAATATTACTACGGATCTAAGAACTACATTCAACAAGCATGTGTACGGAATATTTTAGATTCCGTTATCTCTCAGTTACGTGAAAATCCTTCCAGACGGTTTATTTACGTAGAAATTGCATTTTTTGAGAAATGGTGGAACGAACAAAGCGATGCCATGCGAGCGGAAGTGAAGAAACTTGTACAAGAGAAAAGGCTGGAGTTTATAAACGCAGGTTGGTGTATGAACGATGAAGCTGCCACACATTACAACGCAATTATTGATCAAATGACTTATGGACTGAACTTTGTGGAAAAGACATTTGGATCGGATGCAAGACCTCGAATAGCCTGGCAAATCGATCCATTCGGTCACTCATCTGAACAAGCATCAATCTTTGCACAAATGTCATTCGACGGATTTTTCTTTGGCCGTATCGATTATGGTGACAAAAGTCTTCGTCTGAAGCAGCAAAGAATGGAAATGGTTTGGAGAGGAAGCAGAAATCTTGGACAAGATTCTGATATTTTCACTGGGGTACTTTATAATGTTTACAATCCACCTAAAGGATTTTGTTATGACCAATTTTGCCATGATAGCCCAATCCAAGATGACCCTAATAACAAGGATAACAATGTCAAGGACACAGTGGAAAGATTTGTTCAAACAGCATGCGAGCAAGCCTCACACTACAAAACAAACCATATCATTTTCACGATGGGTTCAGATTTTATGTACGAAAACGCTAACGTATGGTACACGAATCTGGATAAGCTGATTAAATATGTAAACCAGGTATGTGCAGTTTAGCTTTCTTCATGCTAAGATTCAAATGCATGCATTGCCTGCATTTGACAGCTGGGGAGTAGCTAGCCTGTGCCAGGCTCTCAGATAGTATAGTGGGAACGTATTGAAACGAGCAAAGCGAAAATAAGACGCGCACGACTTGGTAAAGGGGGCGGTGGCGGCGGGAAAAATGGGAGAGAGAGCCTGTTAGCATTTAGCCTGTGCCAGGCTCTCAGATAGTATAGTGGGAACGTATTAAAACGAGCAAAGCGAAAATAAGACGCGCACGACTTGGTAACGCCCCCGCGCGTTTTTCGCATTTCTTATTACTGAACGACTTTCCACCACCATCTCGGAGCCTGGAACAGGCTAGGGAGTAGCTGATAACTCTCCAGTGGTACGTACAGCTCTCTCTTGGGGGATGGTCTTACAAGCGTGTCCTTCATACACCCAGGGGGGGGGGGGGTTCTCCTTTATATAAGCCATAGACGTGTGTGCCGCCCCAAAGGGTAGGGCTTTGGCGTTGTTTTGGTCTGAAAACGGGTATAGATTTTGCCCATTTTGGTCTAGAATCGGGCATGGTTTACAAAGGAGCTACGGTTGTGAATCAGTGTGTTCGTCGTTTCAATTCCAAATTTGAATGAATAAGAATAGCCTGTTCCAGGCGTTTGGATAGTAGAGCGCGGCGGTCAGTGGGGAACGAGTTAAATTGTACACCAGGAAAAAAGGGGGGTGAACGAGGGAGGGCAAGAGTGAAGGAACGCCTGTAAATATTCGTAACAAAGGGTCGTTAAGGTATACTGGATTTCAGTATACCCTCTTATTGGTCGATTATGACACCTTCTGCTAACACTCGAGCACTGATGACACAGGGGTGGATCTAGGGGGAGGGTGCAGGGGGTGTGCACCCCCCCCCCCCCCCAGATGACCTGCGGTTTTCTAATACAAGTGGTATTCGTTGCGCCTCTCGTAGCCATAATGAAACTAAGCTTAAGCGACTTGGAATAACAGCAGCAACAGCCATAGGTTGGGGACAGGAGGAAGGGATGGACGAAGACACGGCATTGTGGAAGGAAGGTGTGCATGTGAGATCATTCACGGCAGCCCAAAAAGGCAAAAATATCTTATTTGAAAGATAATTTAGCCGCAATAAAAAGATTAATGCTCTAACAGATGTCACAGAAAATGAGTACTTAACTGCATCTAGAATCAATTCAGAAACAACCCGCAGGAAATAATTGCCAGTATACATGACTGACCGTCTTAATGTTTGACTCAGGGCGGCAGAAATTAGATTTGCTTAGTGCTTAGTAAAAAGAAGGAAAACCTATGATGTTGTTTATTGAAAGCTAACTCAAAGGTCACGTTTCACAATATCACGAGCTTTTTTTTATGGGTCTTGTCTATTCTGTCAACACTTTGTAGTTCATGTAACAGTTACGCGGTCGGCGGTCAATTAAGGGCGGAAAGAGCTCTGTAAGGGAATGTTTACAGGCGCTTCCTCCCCCTTTACCCGTCTAGTCTCCCCTCGTTTTTTTTCTTCGTGAATTTTTCTGCCGCACCCTACTATCTGAACGCCTGGAACAGGCTAGAATAAGAAAGAAAGGGTAATTGCGAATTCGAAATTGATTTTAAGAAATCTTTTTGTTGCGGTTTTAATCTCAGCAATAATGACATAATTTCTGGTCATGTTGCGTTTTGTGACCACCTCCAGGTCTGAATATGGATTTTAGAGGCAAGGTCTGAAACGTGTGTGGAAAATGACATTTTTGGTCTGAAACAGGGTCAGGATTTAGAGAACCGTGTGACTCACCCTCACCAAGAATTCCCAGGAGTACTTCTCGGGTTCAGACAGCAGTTTCGTGTCCTGCAATACGTGCGTATTTTCAGGGGCGAATAAAAGCGAGTAAAGCTGCGTGTTTTAGTTCGTAATGCCGTGGCCTCCATCTTAGATTGCGGGTGACCAGGGGTCCTTTTAGTCTATTGTTAGTCTATTGTTGTTTGCATTTAAGATCAAAGTTTCAGTGATGGTTTCAATAGATTTGCAGATCACGTGACATAACTATCGGTCAACGAAACAAATTGAACTGGCTTGTTAGCTAAGACCTAGCCTGTTCCAGGCTCCGAGATAGTCGGGTTGGAACAGACTAGCTAAGACCCGATCTTTTAGTTACCAGGACTTTCGAGAAACCGGTCCCTGAACAGGCTGAATCCTCATCTCCAGTTTGAGGCAAAAGTCAGCTTTTCGAAAGCGGTCTGTCTGATCTTCGATGGATCTCGCCCTTATTCCATAACCTTATTAGTATCATTTCTCGTTTTATCACTGATGAAGAAATTGCTATTCTTAGGTTAGACGTCAAGGTGAAAGACGGAGGCAGATTTAATGTTGTGGTGGCGCAAGTAAAAGCATTTGCGCACCTGACGAAAACGCCCGCAATGTATGCTAGCATTTAAGAATTTGGCATGTTGAAAAATCGGGAATGAGCAATGCACTTTGTTTAAAAAAAAAAGAAATTCTGAGAATGGTTTAAAGGAATTGGATTTTGTCTCAGTGAGTATCTTTGTCTGGCTACAGCTATGAGAATAGTGATGCGAACATTAAGCGTGACGGCAAAACTCAAGAGTTAGCATCAGTAATGCTGTCTGAGCAGAATTAGCAGTTGTTTTGGGCAGCAAAATTTAATAAACGCGTTATGAATAAAATGCGCGGGAAACTTGTTTAATTTTTGCTGACTATGTTCAGGCAAGTACTAGTAATGACGTCACAACACCATAAGGTCCATTTGACAGTTTAGCAAGCCCATTAGAAACGGCTAATGTCTTCTATTTAGCGCTAAAAATCGGATATATAAAAACAAAACACACACACATGCACAAAGAGGAGCTGAAAACTCTTTATCTCAATTTTGCAACAATAGAAATGTGGTGGTGATGGTGGTGGAGAGAAAAAAAACTGCCCAAAAAACTACTAATTCTGCTCAGACACCACTAGCGGCATCGTGTTTAATCGCAATATCCAGTCAGTCAGACCGAATCATTTTTGCCAGCTTAGTATAAAGTATAGAGCTATGATAAACCTGACAACGTACAGCTAAATTTTACACTACAGGATTAGCTCAAATGGTAGAACACTAACCCCAGTTGTTCAAAAGGTGGATTAAGCTATCCACCGGATAAATCATTATCCATCGGTGGTTTTCCTAATATTTGTCCACATAGCGCTATCTATCGTTTAGTAACTGTCTTTACGCTGCAAACGGTCTGACCTTTGTGCAGCTGGCTGATTACCTCGTAGAAATGGAGGTACCGTGTCTACATACAACGACACTTTTTAATAATGTNTGTTCAGGCAAGTACTAGTAATGACGTCACAACACCATAAGGTCCATTTGACAGTTTAGCAAGCCCATTAGAAACGGCTAATGTCTTCTATTTAGCGCTAAAAATCGGATATATAAAAACAAAACACACACACATGCACAAAGAGGAGCTGAAAACTCTTTATCTCAATTTTGCAACAATAGAAATGTGGTGGTGATGGTGGTGGAGAGAAAAAAAACTGCCCAAAAAACTACTAATTCTGCTCAGACACCACTAGCGGCATCGTGTTTAATCGCAATATCCAGTCAGTCAGACCGAATCATTTTTGCCAGCTTAGTATAAAGTATAGAGCTATGATAAACCTGACAACGTACAGCTAAATTTTACACTACAGGATTAGCTCAAATGGTAGAACACTAACCCCAGTTGTTCAAAAGGTGGATTAAGCTATCCACCGGATAAATCATTATCCATCGGTGGTTTTCCTAATATTTGTCCACATAGCGCTATCTATCGTTTAGTAACTGTCTTTACGCTGCAAACGGTCTGACCTTTGTGCAGCTGGCTGATTACCTCGTAGAAATGGAGGTACCGTGTCTACATACAACGACACTTTTTAATAATGTTGCCGTCAATTTTGTTGAGTTCTGCAAATAATACGTTTAACTACGTTATTTTCGTCTCCATTCTTTATTTCTTTTTA